ACGCACGGACCGCTTCTGCGGTCATTAACCATATCTGCGAAGACCGCACCTGCGGAAATCATCCGCTTCTGCAGAATTTCTCCAAATGGCCAACACCCGCACCTGCGATCCCTTATTCGCATCTGCGGAACCGCTTCTGCGGCCCCTTTTTCGCAAATGCGTAAATACCAAATACCAGCAATCTTCAGAATGCATCAAGTCCAAAATTCATCCTGATGGCCATCCGAAATCACCTCGAGGCCCCCGGGACCTCAACCAAAAGTGCCAATCCATCCTAAAACACTATTCAAACTTGCTCCAATCATCAAAACACCACAAACGACACCAAAACCATCAAATTACATCGGTTCAAGCCTAAGTTCTTCTAAAACTTCCGAAATACGCATTCGATCAAAAACCCAGCCAAATCACCTCCGAATGACCTGAAATTTTTGCACACACATCCCAAATCACATAATGAAGCTACAACAACTCTCGGAATTCCATTCTGACCCTCGGATCAAAATCTCACCTATCAACCGGAATTCGCCAAAATACTAACTTCGCCAATTCAAGCCTAATTCTACACCGGACCTCCAAAATTACTTCCGATCGCGCTCCTAAGTCACAAATCATCCCCCGAAGCTAACTGAATCACCGGAAATCACATCCGAGCTCTCTAAATCATAAGTCAACATCCGGTTGAATTTTTTCCAAAACAAACCTTCCTTAAAGAGACTCATTGTCTCTTTCCTTCTAAAACCAATCAAATTCAACTCGTTTACACAAGAATCTCATAATGAAGCATGAAGAAGAATAAAATGGGGGAAATGGGGCGGTAACTCACGTGACGACGGGTCGGGTCGTCACACCACCATAGTCGAGTTGAAAGATAGTAAAATCAGATAAGTCACATAAAGAAAAGAAAGTCTAAAACAAAAGCTTTCAGTCGAGTCAAGTACTCGAACAAACGATTTAAGACCCAGGGACCTAGGGCTTTTCAACAACACTCGAGTTTTTTTTTTAATGGTAACACAAATAAGTCAAACAAGAACGAGGAACTTAGTTAAACAAGTATACATTTAAACAAACAGCTTCAGGATTCGAATGAGACCCAAAAGAAATTAGGGTTTTCAACATGCTGACTCAAGTAGAAGGAAAGCATAACAAACAGTTCATAGAAAAGTCATAAAACAACATCGAGAATCAGAGAAGAGATTTTTGAAATAACTTAAAGGAAAACCCTAATCAGAATAATGAAGAGTCGCTTTAAAAGCAACGTTGAAGAACTTTCGAGAAAAAAATGCTTAAAAGTTCATGGTAAGCACAAATCTAAGGTAGATCTGAAAGCAATCAAAAGATCTTAGAGATTAGGGTTTCAGAAAACCAAAAGAAACGAGAAAGATCTCGAAAGTTAACGATCTAACTAGAAAAGGTCAAGGACCCGCCTCGAAAGGCCATAAATGGCCGGAAAAGGTCGTGGCTGGCCGGAGAAAGGCAATTTACACCAGTCGAGTAAGGACTGGACCAAACTCCTTCGAAGTCGGGTCATGAAACCACATAGCCAAACACATAGAAGCCATGGAAAGCTGGTACATGTCTCAAATGACCACGGAAGGCCATGGATTAGAGTGTAGTTTGATGGCGGCGGCTAGGGTTTGTAAGAGTTTCAGAAAGAGTTGAGATAGAAGAGGGATTCAGAGACGGCGGTTGGTGAGGAATGAGGTAGGGTAAAGGGGTCGTTTGGGTTAAAAAAGGAAAGGGGTAATGGGAGTCGTTGATCTAAATGACCAACAGTTGGGATTAAAGGGATTAGGTGGGGAGTCCGGGTTTGGGTCGGTTCAATTTGATATTGGGTTGGGGTAATTGGGTTAAAAATGGAATTGGATAGGGGACATTGGGGGCTTGATTTGGGTTATAATTGAAACCCAATTTGGGCTACAATTTAAATAGCCACTTTTCCCCTTTTTATTTACAAAAATAGTAAATAAGTTTCTGAAAACAAATTAAGAGCACTAAAATGATTTACAATGTATAATTAACTATTTAAAAATGCTGGACTTAATTTTTGTAAATGTAAACGTAATTAAATCCTAAAAGAGGCTAATATTGCAATTATGCAATTTAGCTTTTGAAAATACCAAATAAATTTGTAAAAAATATGCAAAATTTCCCTTAGCTATATTTTAGCATATATATAAAATTTCAACAAGTGAATCACCAAAATATGATATTTTTTAAAAAAAATAATTATTGGATTTTTATGGATAAAATAGGGGAATAAATTGATTCAATAACCTTTAAAAATTAAGGAAAGTAATGAAACACTTGGGCATACTTATATATGCATACATATGATATTTTGAAGGTATTTTGCATATTAAAATATATATATATATATAGGGAAAAATTGGGTTTCAACAGCTTGCTACTCAATGTGCTAGATATAATTTAATTTAATTGGAGTAACAAAATATATTAGGTAGTTGGCATTTTAGATGTTAATTACTTGTTGTTGATACCAAATTTTGCTCTCATATTTTCTATAATTTTTCATAATTTTTAAAGCTTTAAAATTAATTTTTCTTGCATTTAAATTGTTCAAATATTTATTAATTATCCTTTTAAAGTATTTTGTGATGACTTAATCATCCTAATTTATTATTTATACACACATATGTGTTTTATAACATTTTTACTACATTTCATATAATTACATTTGTATTTTAGCAATTTACACAAGTTTTGCAATATAGCCTATATTATATACATAATTATATTTAATATATTATTTATGCTAAAATAGCACTTTTATATTTTTATAATTTTAAGCTATTATTTTCAACCATTTTACCGCATAAGTTATATTTTTATTATTTATTAATTACTTTTTATAAATTATTGTTAATACATTTGTATATTTAATTTATAGCCCAACATAGGGCTAATTTTGGATCAAAATAAGGCCCAAAACAGTTGTCCCATCTCCATTTAACCCTTCAGCAGCCCAAATCAAAAAACCTCTTCATTTAACCCTGGTCGCGACCCGTTTTAAACGACCCGCCCCATTCTTTCTTCTATTTCAGCCGTTGATCTCAGAGATCAACGGCACACAGACCCCCTCCCATCTTTAATTAACCAAGCCCAAATCCTAACACTCATTTCCCTCCGAACCGCCGTCCCAAACACTCTAAACTCTCCCTTCTCCCTTCTAAAAAACCCTAGCAGTTGTCTTTTGAGTTTTCTCCGATTCCAACTTAAAAATGGAATCAATCAATGATTCACTTACCTATTTGTGATACTTTAATATTGCATGCACGCTTGTGGTGTTACTTAGTTCTTGTCCTATTTTTGGAAAAAAACTACCTTTCAAGAACATGCTTTAGTGGCTTTGATTTTGTGAAGATCTGGGCGATATTTCGTCCATATACTGTCTATAATGACGATTCTTGCATTCTTGGTCTGATTTATGGCCGTTGCACCTAACTAGGGTTTGAAATTTCTTTCATCTTATTTTTTAACTCTGTTACTGATTGCATGTGGTCTTCTCCTTCCACATTTATGCTTATTTGATTATTTTTCATGTTTGTTCGCCCTAGTCTATCATTATATAAACCTCTCCCCCAATTCCTATAGGGGGACCTTAAACATTACTGTCATTCCCTCACGATCACTCGTTCTATACTATTCTGAGGCTATTGATTTTGGTCGGCTGAAAGCCAAGGCCACAAGAATTCGTTCATTAACCTCCTCCAGTGCAAGCACTGCTTGGAGTCCAATTAGAGGCTCTTGTGAACTCTGAAGCACTGGGGATTTGGGATTTTGTTATTCTCCTTCAATCGCCACGATTTTTGAGATTTTAAGTTTCTCACTCTTTGTTTGTTTGTTTGCAACTGGTTAGTGCTCTTGACCCTCTTTTGGCCCAAGTAAAGGTTAGTTTTGAAGACTGACAAAGGAACTCAGGCATGAACCAGGTCCATCCCAGTGGTCCATCCCTCGGGTTCATAAAAACGGGAAGATTCGAGCATGTGGGATGCACGTGAAGGAGATAAGCTTAACTTTGTGTATTTAATATCTCCTGATCGAAAGGTTGCATAATTGATAATGAGAAGGAGTCCTTAATCAAAGAGAACACTATCCAAGATACGGAAGGAGTTAGAAGTTGAAATCAACTAGAACTCTTCCACCAAGGAAGAGTTGTATCAGAACTCTAGTTATTTCTTCATCTACAAACTCTATAAATTGCAGGATGTTCTCACATTACAGTGTTGCACAAAAACGCAAAAGTTAAATGTGAATTGAGAGCAAAATAGCAAGGCT